ATTTTTATTAAAAAGACAAACTGAAAATTCAGAACGGAACAAATAACATAAAAGATCCTCTTAAAAACTGTCGTAAGTAACACAGCTAGTAACTTCATAAGTTGCTTTTAAAAAAATGGTAATGGTTAAAAACCAGCTCGCCATCTCTGCAAATATTTTATCTAGCTGGGATATAGAAAGGCTTTCTCAGAGCACTCTGTCACACACAAAACTCAGGGTGAAGCTATTCAAATGAAGAAGTGCAGTCGGGCAGACAGGACCAAGCGTGATGATGAAATGTGAGGGCCACCGGGGGTAAAGAAAAGGATGCAGTTTTCCCTAAATGCATCCTCCCAGTTGAGTTCTCCCAAGTGTAACCAAGTGGTTGCTGCCTGCGCCCATAGAGAACGTGGAAGCACTAGGTTTGGAAGCAACCGATCCATGAAAGCAAAATCTGCCTTCCATCTCAGAGGGAGCGCAATCACCTGGCCTTGGGTGAACCGAGCCCCAGAGACAGACACATCACAGGGGGAAGGACAAAGCACCTAGAGACACTATGTGAAAACTACGGGGGGAAAGGACCCAGGAGGATCTTTCAAAGATGTGAGGTTGCCAAAGAAAATAACTCGGGACTTTAAAAATAGAGGGTGACAATTTTAGGATCTGGGTGGAAGAAAGGAAGGAAGAAGGAGGAAAAAATAAAAAGGAAAATCACGAGGGTAAGTCTGTCACGTGGCAAATTTCCAAGCATAACCTCTAGCTGCCAGTTTTGGCTTCATCTCCCCCAGCTGTGACATCCAGTTCCAATTAGCACATTAAAAGAAATATATATTTTTCTAGACTGCCATACTCACCTCTACTCAGCCCATCTGGTCCCCGAAGGATTCGGCATTCTTCTATCTGGCCAAACGGAGAAAACATCACCCTGATATCGTTCTCATTACACTTCTTCGAAACCATTCCTATGAACAATTTTCGGTCTTCCACGGCTAGGAGATAAAAATAAATGAATGAGCAAAGGGCAGTTCCTCTGTCTCTCTCTCTCTGCCTCCCTCCCTCCCTCTCTGTTTTCCTCCTCCATGATCAGTGCTTTATTGCCACATCAAACTGAGCATCAGTCTTGTGGAGCATGGCATTGTAACTGGTGAAAGGTCCTGTGGCCAAATACAATCTTGGCCTGCTTTTGTCTCCAAATCACCTGCATTTCTCTTGTGACGGTTTCGTATTTTGCTACTTCTATCTTTATATCTACCCATCTTTGCTGTCTGGGTGGCACACACCCCTGGACAGCCTCCCCTTCTCTCAATTTCACTACCTAAAAAGGAAAACAAGAATATCAGCCATCCAATAATCAAGAGTAAATGTGAGTGGACTGAAACAGGTAGCGGCCAAAGATTTTAATTTAGGCATATAGATATGGTAAACCATGGCTTGCTGATGGCATGGTTTGGATCGGGGGAAAGAGATCTCATCCATAATTGATCCGACTTAGAACAATCCATCCTTCCTTCCCCTTTAGGAGCTGCCCTGCACCTTTCAGGCCCAGTGGCAGGGCGTGCATTCTTTTTGCCATGCTCATTGTTTATCTTGTTTAGCTGGGAGATAGCAGCCCTCATAGTCTTTCGAGACTGGGAGATAGCAGCCCTCATAGTCTTTCGAGACTGAAGGATGCCTAACCTAAGCAGCCCTCAACAGCTGCAGATTAGGAGGGAGAGTTTGAGAAAGGGAGGGAGAATGAGGAAAGGGAAGCAGCGAGAGGGGAAAGGAGAAAATGGCAGTGTTAGAGGGAGAAAGGAGCAATGTAAAAATAAATAAATAAATCACTTCCCCTGATCCTCCTCAAATGATCAGGAGAAGCACTCAAGTGATAGCTGTTCAGACTACAAAGTGTTGTTTGCTCTTCAGATCAAACATCAATCCTCCCACCAACCTCAAAAGACCCTTTGTAGCCTGATCCCCCCACACCCAAAATGCCCAGCCTGAACAGGCCATTAGATAACACTCCCATCAAAACGGATAACATATGAAAGAGAAATCAGAACAGTAACCAGGAAAAGTACATAAACTGAAATGAGTTAATAGGGAACACCGATGCAGATTAGGCCTGAATGACATGCTTGGAGCCACGATCAATCTCAAGAAGGGGCAGCAAATGGAACTCAAAGGTCCAGTGGAAGCAACGAGGCAGAATTTCCTGTTTTACCTACAATGATATATATAATAATTCCCCTTCCAAGCAGAGACAACTAGCGAGAGTTTCCCCTTGTAGGAAAAAGCCCTCAGACAAAACGCAGTTGCAAGATTACTTTGGGAAAAGCAAATCCTCAGCAGACTTGCAATGTTGGGCTTGTGAATATTTTTTTTAATTTCGTTTTGTAAAGGTGGTACGCTCAGGTTATTGCGAGACAATTGCCTTTTCTACAGAGGCACAGACAAAGTAGGTCAAGCCGGCAGCTGGATTCACTGGCTTGAGTTTGAGCACACTCACGTTCCAAGGTTTTAAAGTGACAGAATCGAGAAATGGCTGGAACTGGGGGAGAAGAATCTGCGGACAAATCTGGGACTGCGCAGACCCTGGATTCAGTCAGCACAGCGGCTGGCTCCTTCCTTCCTTCCTCTCCCCTTCCCTCTTCTCCCTTCCTCCCTCCCTTCTATACATCTTTATCTCAAGCCTGGGACCTAAGGGAGCTTACAATAAAATTTGTAAATTTATAAAGTACTATGCACATGCAGGGCTCTATACAAAGACACACAAAAAAGTCTCTTTCGCACTTTACCTCAAAGCCAGGGCATGAATGCTTTGTTCGAAAAGTGCCCTCTGCTGCATACCAAAACCATGACGGGACACCAGGGTGAAGCCACCTTCTTAGTGGGGGAGGTTAAGCCCATTGGTTTTAACAGATATGACTTGAAAATTCTGAGACCTTCTAGGCTTGAAAGTTTTATTTATCTCAGTGACTCCAGACATTATTCTGGGGAACTCTGAGGTTCAGAAGTTTCTTGGGAGTGTTCCAGTGAGCCAAGAGGAACAACGTCAACCATTTTCTTGACTTGGCCACCTGTCGCTAATGACTTTCCTTGGTGTGAATCTGCAGGAGGACTTTGCGTACATTCTTGATCATCTACTCTTTTTAAGAGAGGCCATTCTGCCTTGGATCCTTTAGGAGAAAGGTGGCATATATGTATTTTAAATAAATAAATAATTAGTGACCCAACAGCCCAGGCAACATTGAGTATGAATTGAGTATGTACTGAGAAGTCTAGTCTCAAATCTTCTGTAATGGGGGTGGTCGTGGTGAACCTTGGTCCTCCAAATGTTGTCAACGTATAGTTCCCATCCATTACTCTCAAAGCCAAGTAAGATCTGGAAGGGTCTCAGAAGCCCCAGGGCTGCCACATAGCAACCTAGTGTGGTTTGGAGACAGAAAGCTGGAAAACCACTCATCATATTGTAATCTTCTTCTGAGGATCATGTGTAGCCCATAGGTGGTAGTGTAGAGTGACAGAGGGCAGATGTCATGTAAGTGGCTTTCCAGACTTGATCTATATACACAGTTTATTTTAAAACCATGAAATAATGCCAAGTCTCAGTTCTTGTCCACCTTCCTGAAAACCGTGAGTCCTTATTAAGATACAAAGACGAATCCAGCTCCTTTCTTAGCTCTGGAAATAGCATGCAAATTCAATTCGCTCTTAATGAGCACGCTGTCAGAGCTCGTACGGAAGCATGGAGAAATCGTTACTCCAGAGAATCTGCCACACGGTTATTTATTTCTATTATTGTGCAAATTATTTTAGTAATGAAGGAGTTCTTTTGTTTCTGTTCCACTGGGGGATGGGGGTTGGGGAGAGGAGGAGGCAGAAAAAATGTCCACGTCTCCTCCCAGGCCCCAGAATATTAACCTCTGACGTCTGCCCCCTGGACATTTAGCAAGCACTTGCTGTAAAGAGGCTGCAGTAGTAATAAAAAAGAAAAGGAAAAGCAGGAAACTAGTATATTTTCATACCACTGTACTGGTCTCAACAGCTTTGATACTTGTCATGTATCTGAGTATAAGAAACCATAACTTTGCATCAGCAGAGGTGTACATGTTTCAGGGGTGGGTTGGAGTTTGTTTGTTCATTGATTCTAGATCTGCCATTTGGAACAATTTTTTCCCCATCCATACATGGGTAACAAAGTCATTTTGCTATTTCGTACCAGCTGAGCCATGTGCTTTAATGGAATATATAACTGATGGCCATGAATTTGTATTTCGCTGCACATCTGGTTTCTTTTTTATTTCCCGGCACATCTGGATTCCTGGATATCTGAAGGACTATATCTCTGTACAAGACCCTGCCCCCTTTGGGTTTTAAGACCCTTGGTGAAAACCACTCTTTGGGTCTTGTGGGGACACAAGGGAGAGAGTCAAAACAAAGGATGCTGCTTATATACTGCTGCGGAGCACTTAAAGCACTCTCTGGGCGGATTGCAGTTCAATTATGTATGCCAGTGGTCCCCAACCTTGGACCTCCAGATGTTCTTGGACTTCATCTCCCAGAAATCCTGGCCAGCAGAGGTGGTGGTGAAGGCTTCTGGGAGTTGTAGTTCAATAACATCTGGAGGCCCAACGATGAGGACCACTGATGTAGGCTACACAATGTCTCTCTCCCCGCAAGCTGGGTACTCAATTTACTGACCTCAGAAGGATGGAAGGCTGAGTTATTCTTGAGCTGGCTACCTGAATCTGTTGGGATTGAATGCAGGCTGTGAGCAGTACTGACTGCAATACTGCAGTTTAACCACTGCGCTAGAAGGCTCTTAACCATGAGTCTTTTTAAAATACCAGGGTGGCTACTTCATTCTTTCCATACTGTTGGCAGGCAAAGAATTTTCTGCTTAGGTGGGCTTTTGACGACTGGCTACCTGCCTAGGAAAGCGTTTTCCTTGGGGAGTGCTGCACTTCTCAATTTTGTTACGGGACTGATTTTCAAATTCTTTTATACCATTGTTATTCAGTGGCTGCTTCAACAATAAAATGCCCAGAATTCAATTCTGTATTTCCGGTGATGTAATGACAGAAGTGTAACTTTCAACAGTAAATTGGGGCAAGTTAAAAAGGTCAGAATAGGCATGTCCTACCCCACATCAAGCCACAGGACTGATGTGAGACAGGAAATGCATACATTGACTCCTTAAATTGTGGCAATTCACCCCTGAAAGACACACTGCTGGCATTACACCAGCTGGCATAACTTGCAGGATTCTGGTTGATATGTTTATTACTTTGGTAGTGCAATTTATTGCGGTTTTAGTTACAGCTGTTTTTAAAAAATGTTTTAAATGTTGGGGGGAAATGTTGGGCTATAATCAACATAAAATGTATATTTATATCTGTCTTATAGATTTGTCTCATGTGGGCTAGAAAATGCAAAAAGGCTGCCCTACAGAAGCCCCACGTTCATAGTTATATTCAGCATCAATTTCTAAATAGTGCCCCAAATCCTACTGGCATTTCCTGTGCACCTATACTGGCATTCATGGAAGCCACAGTAGGACTGGTTGTGCAATAAATGAAACCATGGTGGATGACTGGACATGAGACGGACAGCCCGAAAACCACCTACTGCCACCTGTGTGATTGCCTTTACACAATCATGTTGGGCAACCGGATTCTGGCCTGTGCCTTCCACAGACATCCTTCCGTATCTCAGCCTGGTCTTTTTAGCGCCAGATTCACTGAGTACTCTTGAAGTAGCTGTTGGCGCCCGTCAGACATCAAATCATTGACACAACACCGATGTGTAAAGGTTACGAAGGAACGACACATTATAAGCAACACAACAATGGTTGCCTTCAACCCCAGATCTGCATCAACCTTCCATCAACCCTGCTCCAGCGCAACGGAGAGCAAACCTTATCCCAAATTCAGCTCTAGCAGCTATCAATAGTGTGGAATGGGAAAATGCAAAGAACGTCATCAAGATGGGGTCAACATTTACTCCC